CTTGCTTTAATCCGTATAAAGCTTTTGAGAGTTTAAAAACATGATCTGGATAAGATACATTTTCAAAACCAGGAGGTTGGTCAACATAGACTTCTTGATCTATAAAACCATTCAAGAAAGCACTCTTAACATCCATCTGAAATAACTTAAAATTCTTGAAACATGCAAATGCTAGAAACATTCTTATGGACTCCAGCCTAGCTACAGGTGCAAAGGACTCATCAAAGTCTATCCCCTCTTCTTGAGTGTATCCCTTAACCACCAGTCTGGCCTTATTTCTAACAACCTCCCCTTTATCATTCATTGATTGCTAACTTCTTTAGTTCTTCTTGAACACCTGTATCATCATCTTCACCACAACTCGTAGAAATGTCACCATTAGATTCATCAAACGTAATGTGTATCGCTTCCTCTATGATCAGTGTTCTACGATTATAAACTCTGAAACCTCTTTGTTTTCACAATATCCCAAGAAAATTTCTTAATCAGATTTTTTGTCAAACTTTCCAAGATGTTCCTTGATATTCAAAATGAAACATTTACAACCAAATATTTTAAAATAACCAACAACAGGCTTTTTGTCAAACATAAGCTCATAGGAGGTTTTGTTCAAAATTGGTCTTAGGAGAACACTGTTCATGGTATAACAGGCTGTGTTTATGGCTTCAGTCTAAAAATATTTTGGTAAATTGCATTCACTAAGCATGGTTCTAGCAGTTTCTTGGAGAGTTCTATTTTTTCTTTCTACAACTCCATTTTGTTGGGGGACTCTAGCAATAGAAAATTCATGAGTAATGCCATTATGATCACAAAATTCTGGAAAACCACAGAACTTGAATTCTGACCCATTATCACTTCTAATCCTAACAATTTTCAAGCCAAGCAGATTTTACACTTTAGCAAACAATGAAGTAAAATTCTTAAAGGCATCATCTTTATGAGCAAGAAATATCACCCAAGTATATCTAGAGTAATCATCAACAATCACAAAATAATATCTCTTACCACAAAGGCATGTAGTTTGTGTAGGACCAAACAGGTCATGGTGCAAAAGTTCAAGTGGTTTTGAAGTAGAAACACATTTCTCGGATTTAAAAGATACCTTGACTTGTTTTCCAAATTGGCAAGCATCACATATCCGGTCCTTTTCAAATTTGATTTTTGGGAGACCTCTAACAAGATCCTTTTTGGAGATTTCCTTTAGCAAATTCATGTTGAAGTGACACAGTCTTCTATGCCATAACCATGGGTCCTCATTTGCTACTTTGAGACACTTGAGATAGGAGGAATCAATTTTTTCGAGAATAACTACATAAACATCATTAACCCTTTTTTCTTTGAAAATAATGTTGAATTTTGAGTCAAATATGAGACATTCAAGCTTTTTGAACAATACAAACAGATTCCTATCACACAGTTGGCTAACACTTAATAAATTGTAGCAAGGATTATCAACGAGAAAAACATTGTGGATAGAGGTTTTACCATTCTTACCAACATCACCAATACCAAAAGTTTTGGCTTTGTTATCATCTCCAAACGTTATCTTTTCACTTGCTTTTTGCTTGAGTTTAATGAATTGTGAAGCATCACCAGTCATATGTCTTGAACATCCACTATCAATGAACCATTTTGATTCTTTAGCAATGTTATCCTGATTCACCTACACACAAACCCACAGGATAATACTTGGTACCCTTTACATGTTGGGTCCTTGAGAGTTAGTCTTATGTCTAACTATCCACATGCATCTCATTCCATTCCTCATGTTTTTCTTAACATAACAGTTGCTATTCATGTGACCAATTTGACAACAAAAGTTGCATACTGACATTGGATCAATCAAATGAACAGGTTTAATGAATCTAACTTGCCTTCTCCTGTGGATAGCAAACTCATTTGCATTTTGATTCTGTCTTATTTGATGAGTATTAACATAAGGTTCAGTGTCATTCTTTTTAAGACTGTTCTGTTTCATATGATGTAACAAATGACATAAATCATCCATCCTTTTTCTTAAGCCACATTGCTCATTTCTGAGTATGTCACATAAATTTTTCTTTTTGTAAAGTTCAGCAATCACATCAGTTTCAGTCCTTTTCAGATTCTCATTTTCATGCTTAAGACACTTGTTTTGTCGAAAAAGATTTGCATTATCTTGTATTAGAAAGCTAATTTTCTGTTTTAGTTCCTTGTTTTTAACGTAGGATTCTTTCAAACTGTTATGCATTTTTTCTAGAAAAGAGTTAACATCATCATCAGATTCACTATCACTGTCGGTTTGAGAGTTGCATTGTGTTACCTCTTCATCTCCAATGGCCATGAAAGCCACTTGAGCAGATTCCTCTTCTTTTTCAACTTCGCCTTCTGAGTTGCAATCATTCCAGGTAATCTGGAAATTGTTGAACTTTGGCTTTCGTTCAACCTTGTTCTCCTTCTTTTTCTTCATTGGACACTCATTTGCATAGTGTCCTGGTTGGCCACATTCGAAACACTTATCAGTCAGCTTCTTGTTGAATTCCAGTTTCCCTCTATTTCTGAAGTCATTAGACTGATTTGGTAAGGAATAGCTGGATCCGCCTTTCCTGAATCTTCTCTTGTTGAGAAATTTTTTGAAACCTCCTGTGATGAGTGCAATATCACTGTCATCACCTTCCAAATCATTTTCATCCTGTGAGGCTGTTTCATTTTCATCTTGTGAAGCTTTCAGAGTAATACTTTTTCTTACTTTTGTGTCTTCTTCATCCTGCATCTTAGATTTAAGTTTCAGTTCGTAAGAAGTTAGAGAGTTAATCAGAGATTCAATGGATAAAGTATTTAGATCCTTGGCTTCCTCAATGGCAGTCACTTTGCTTTCCCTGTCCTTTGATAGAGCATTCAGAATTTTTCTGTTCTTCTCACTTACAGAGTACTCCTTCTCAAACACTTCTAAATCCTTGATCAGATCATTGAATCTACAATACATTTTGTTAATATTTTCATGAGGCTCCATCTTAAAAGATTCATACTTAGTGACTAGAATGGATTTCTTTTGTTCTCTCACATTCTCGCTTCCCTCATGGATCTCTCTAAGTTTATCCCAAATTTCTTTTGCAGATCTGCAGCCTTTGACTCTAATAGACTCATTTGAATCTAGTGCACTGTATAGAACGTTCATAGCCTTAGCATTTAGAGTGAAATGAATTCTATCTTCAGCAGTCAGCTCACTTCTGGCCTTTTGTCTCGGCCTATGAGTAGTTTCATCAATAATAGTTACGTCATATGGACCTTCACTAACAATAAACCATAACTCAATATCAATAGATTGTAAGAATATAATCAACCTTTCCTTCCAGCTCACATAGTTTGATCCATTGAACATTGGAGGTCTAGTAACAGATTGTCCCTCAAAGAACATGGCATTGTTGGTTGTCATATCTACTCCCAAGCCGATTGAGCTTAATCTCTAGGAGACCAAACTCTGATACCAATTGTAAGGATCGAAAACAACCTAAGAGGGGGGTGAATTAGGTTATCAAAAAACCAGCCAAGATATAGGTCACTTTTCTTCAAAGCTTACCTTTCTTTTCTCAAAGACCACCCAATGGATCAGATTACAAGAAAGCACAGGTATTCGAAAGATGAAGAGGAGAACAGTTTATATAGAAAAGCTGTAAATGAAAATAGTGAAACAAACCAGGCTTCAAACTCTACTGGAGTTTGAACACCCCTTTTATATACCAGGTTACTTCAATTTGAACAATCTTGCAACCAATATCCTGTGTACAAGGGAAGGATCACTTCCTTCTTGCCCCAAACCACACTTGGTCAAGCAAGGAAGTTTTACAAACAATCGAAAAACCCTCACAATGCTACACTATTGAAGAAGCTGTGTCACACTTGAAAAACTACCAGAAAATTGCACAAGCTAAGAATACAAATGTTCCTTTGGAGTATTCTAACACTTGAATCACTCACAATCTGATGTAGACTTGATGTGCAAAGTTGTTTTGAGGTGGTTGACTTTATTCTATTTATAGGAGACCAGAAAATTCTTCAATTAATGCTGTCAACGGGTAGAAGACAACTAAAGAGTCAACTAGCCGTTGGTGCTGTCGGACGTCCGATATTCAGTTTTTATGCGTCCGAACGAGATCAGTGAGTTCTGGAAGTTTTCTTGAATCTCTTAGGACGTCCGATCCCTTATCACCATGCGTCCGAGGGTAAGATGCACACTTGGAATTTCCTCTTCAATTCCTTCGGACGGCCGATGCGTCCAGAGTGTTGCGTCCGAAGTGCAGCAACGCTTGTCGGACGTCCGATACTCAGGTGTTGAGCGTCCGATCGTGATCAGTAATTGTAGAAGCCCTGGCTTGTCTTCTTCGGACGTCTGAGTCTGAATTCTTCACTCATCCGAAGATACTCAAAGGATGTCGGACGTCCGATACTCTCCTTCTGTGCGTCCGACAACTTCCTCAGTACTTTTCATCCTTTTTTATCTTCTTTTGCTTTAAATCCACTGACCTGTTTAGTGCATTTCTGAATAGGGTCTCTTCAAAGAGTATTAGTAGCATCCATTTGTTTTGTAATCATCAAAAGATATGAATTGAGATAAACAATCTCCCCCTTTTTGATGATGACAAAATATTTGGATAGAGCAAAAATATATGAACTAGGATATAACAACTCCCCCAAACGAAGTGCATGAGTATTCAGGAAGAAACACAATCTACACCATCAATGCTAACCCAACGCAACTCCCCCTGAAACTGACTCCCCCTAACTAGTTACTCTATACCATCAGTGCTAATCCAATTCTCCCCCTTTTTGTCATCACAAAAGTGAGTATCAATTTTGATACCAGCATCCATAAACATTCATAACAAACACTTAGTTATAACATCCATAAACAGTAGAAAATATCCAGTTGTACAGACCAGGTGTACATCACTTAGCCAAAAGTTTTGCAATGCAAAAGATGAACTGTAGTCCTAGATTAAGGTGCAGTGACCTAGTAGTGCCTAGATGGTGATTTTGGATGATCCAGGCCTCCTCCTGGCCAGACGACACTGTTCAGGGTCCTCTTCTTCCTCAGTTTCTTCATCATCGTCTTCATATGCTTCCTCAGTTGCTGGAGCCTTGCCTTTATCCTTGGGCTGAGAACTGGAAGCTGGTGTAGTCTCAGTACCAGTAGCTGTCCCTGTGGGCTCAGGTCTTGGCTCTTTCCCGTGAACATTTGCATTGTTTTCAGGTATGGGAGGGACAAGAAGATTTCTTTTTTCAATGAAGGAGGATTGTGGGGCAGGGGTCATGGTCATCATGAGACCATCTTCAATAAGCGAGACATGCTGTTTGAGGTCTTCAAGCAAGGAGATGACTTCAGAATTGGATGTGAAGGACTTGCTAGCAGACTTTCTAGGATGAATGGTGAAGTGAGAGACATAGTCTGACTGATCACGAGGAGTCCTAGGAGTGACAGGGGTTTCATGAAAGTTTTTCCTTCTGGATTCAGCCACAGTCTCCTTATAGCACCAATGGCCATCAGAAAATCTTAAGTTCTTTCTTTCAAAATAAGCTTTTGAGAAAACTGATGAAGCACTGTCTTTGGGAGATTTTCCAGAAAAAGGTATTTCAAAATGTGTAAAGATAGGAGTCAGAAATCTGCCATAAGAGAGCTTCCTACGACTGTCAGTGCTAATTTTGAGCAGAAACTTGCACATTACAAAACCAAAGTGAATGCGAATTTTTTCAACAAAGCAGTAGAAAAGATAAAGTTCCATTTTGTTTGCATCTATTCTGTGGCCATCAGTTGGCACCAACAGATTCGAAATGATGGTGAAGATGATCAGATTCTGAGGACTGAGATCATCTAATCTTGCCTCAGCAGGAGTATTGAAGTGAGTTTGAAAATAGGTCATGAGTTTGGCAATGTAAAAATGATGGTAGGCAGAAGAAAATTCCTCATATGAAAAGAAATTTGCAATTTTTCCTTTGAAACCAGATTCAATGCTAGTTTTCAGAATGGAATTCACAATGTCAGGAGTTAACGTGATGTCTATAGAGTTGACCCTAGAGATGAGTTCAGTGTGTGATTTACCCTTTCTAAAATTAGCAAAGAATTGATAAAGCATGTCAGGGTAAAAGACATTAGGAATGGTCAGAAGATGAGTCCATTTCTGGAATTGAAACAGTTTAATGACAGGTTCAAGATCAAGCTTACGAAATTCGTAGAGAAGGATGAGCCTTTGGGTGATGAACCCTTTTTGAGAGACTAACTCAAATCTGTCTCTGGCTTCATCATCAATGAATTTTGGGAGAGGAGTGGGTTCTGTTACGGGCTGTGTTACTGGATCTTTCCCAGAACGTTTCCCTTTCGAGGTTTGTGTGGCAGATGCCCCAACATTCTGAGCCTCAGACCTTGTCCTTGGAGATTTCCTGGTGGAGGGTTCAGGTGTTTGCTGATTCTCAGCAATGTTTCGTTCATTCTGCTGATTAACAGAGGGATCAGCAGATTGATTTTTCTTGGATTGGGGAGTGCTCTTCCTCTTTGCAGTTCTCTTTCTTTTACCAGATGACCTCGTGACAGTTTCATCACCCTGGGTAGCCTGCTCTGGTTCCTCATTTCCACCAACATTGTTCCCTTCAGAGTTCTGCCCTTCCAACTGCTCATCAGATGATTCAGCAGTTGGAGTAACCAATTTTCTTTGGGCAGTTTGCTTCGCTTTACCACCACGGGTCACAATCTTCTTCTTAGGTGCCACAGGAGGTGGTTTCTCAATCTCAATGTCCTCATCTCTAAGCCTAAAGGACCGTCCGGCACTAGTAGATCCTCCTCTGATTCTAACCATGATGCAATGTGAATATGATTTTTGATGCAGAACGTGGTGTATAGAGGAGAAATGCAGTGTGAGTCAACTAGAATGCACTAAAATGCCGCAAGGAGAGAGTTATGTGAAGTTAGGGTTTCGTATGTAAATTGGGAGCTTTGGGGTAGTTGGGGGTTAGGAGTGATTTTTATGAGTGGTTAATGAGCAATAGGGGTGTAATGGAGTTGGTTGAGTCAATTTTTTGGAACTTGGTTTGATGAGAGAGGAATTTGAATTTCAAATATGAGAGGAAACTGAAAGGTTGCGTCCGAGACTATGGAAGATAATGAACTAGGAAAAATAGGTAACTGCCTTATAGTGCTCAATTTTTGAGTGTCGGACGTCCGAACGTATTGAAGCGTCCGACACATCCGTCCGAACCAGGATTTTTCTAAAACTAGATGAAGAACACTGTCGGACGTCCGTTCCAATTCATCGGACGTTCGATAAAGATTGACCAAAAAACAAAACTTAGAATATTTTTTCTGAGACGCCCAGTTTTGTTCTCAGGAACACAAATTGATCCAGTGGAAGAGCTTTTGTGAGGATATCAGCGATTTGCTCTTTAGAACAAACAAACTGGACACGGATTACCCCCTTTGAGACAAGATCGCGAATGAAATGATGCTTTATATCAATGTGTTTAGTCCTAGAGTGTTGAATGGGATTTTTTGTCAGATTAATTGCACTAGTGTTGTCACAGTACATAGGTACACATTCATACACTAAACCAAAATCATTCAATGTGTTTTTCATCCATAGCAATTGAGCACAACAAGCACCAGCAGCAACATATTCAGCTTCAGTAGTGGACAATGAGATAGCATTTTTGTTTTTTACTAAACCAAGATACCAAACAATTTCCAAGAAAGTTGCATATACCAGTAGTACTTTTTCTATCTATTTTACAACCACCGAAATCAGCATCAGAGAATCCATATAACGGAAGTTCATGACATTTTGGATACCATAAACCAAAGTTTAAGGTTCCTTTAAGATATCTAAAAATTCTTTTTACTGCATTCAAGTGTGATTCCTTTGGACAGGATTGAAATCGAGCACATAAGCATACAGCAAACATGATGTCAGGCCTACTGGCAGTTAAATAAAGTAAACTTCCAATCATACCTCTGTACTTCTTTTCCTCAACTTTCGTACCTTCCTCATCCTTGTCAAGTTTGGTAGAGGTGCACATAGGTGTTCCAACAAGCTTTGAATCCTCCATTCCAAATCTTCTCAGCAGCTCCTTGGTGTATTTTGCTTGATTTATAAATGTTCCATCTTGGGTTTGAACCACTTGGAGTCCAAGGAAGAAGTTCAGTTCTCCCATCATGCTCATTTCAAATTCTTTTTGCATGATGATGGAAAAGTCCTTGCACAAGCTCTCATTAGTAGCACCAAATATGATATCATCCACATATATTTGCACAATTAAAAGGTCTCGTGAGCTTTGTTTTGTGAAAAGTGTAGTATCTACAATGCCCCTTTTAAAATCATTTTCAATCAAAAATCCACTCAGACGTTCATACCATGCTCTAGGAGCTTGCTTTAATCCGTATAAAGCTTTTGAGAGTTTAAAAATATTATCTGGATAAGATACATTTTCAAATCCAGGAGGTTGGTCAACATAGACTTCTTGATCTATAAAATCATTCAAGAAAGCACTCTTAACATCCATCTGAAATAACTTAAAATTCTTGAAACATGCAAATGCTAGAAACATTCTTATGGACTCCAGCCTAGCTACAGGTGCAAAGGACTCATCAAAGTCTATCCCCTCTTCTTGAGTGTATCCCTTAGCCACCAGCCTGGCCTTATTTCTAACAACCTCCCCTTTATCATTCATTTTGTTTCTAAAAACCCACTTTGTGCCAATGATAGGATGGTCTTGTGGTCTAGCAACCAGGGTCCAAACCTTGTTTCTTTCAAATTGGATTAACTCTTCTTCCAGAGCTAAAATCCAGTGCTCATCATTCAATGCATCAACAACATTTTTAGGTTCAATATGTGATACTAAAGCAAGATTATCTACTAGGTGTCTAGAAGAATGAGTTCTGACCTTTTCAGATGGATCACCAATTATAAGCTCCCTGGGATGGTTATGAACAAATTTCCAGGTTCTTGGTAGATCATTAGGAGTAGCGGTATCTCTGTCATTCACTTCTCCAGCTGGACTGTCTTGAGTATCAGCATCCTTTAAATCAGTTTCTGGTGAAGCAGAGTCATGATCATTGATTGCTAACTTCTTTAGTTCTTCTTGAACACCTGTATCATCATCTTCACCATAACTCATAGAAATGTCACCATTAGATTCATCAAACGTAATGTGTATCGCTTCCTCTATGATCAGTGTTCTACGATTATAAACTCTGAAGCCTCTTTTGTTTTCACAATATCCCAAGAAAATTTCCTCATCAAATTTTTTGTCAAACTTTCCAAGATGTTCCTTGATATTCAAAATGAAACATTTACAACCAAATACTTTAAAGTAAACAACAACAGGCTTTTTGTCAAACATAAGCTCATAGGAGGTTTTGTTCAAAATTGGTCTTAGGAGAACTCTGTTCATAGTATAACAGGCTGTGTTTATGGCTTCAGCCCAAAAATATTTTGGTAAATTGCATTCACTAAGCATGGTTATAGCAGCCTCTTGGAGAGTTCTATTTTTTCTTTCTACAACTCCATTTTGTTGGGGGACTCTAGCAATAGAGAATTCATGAGTAATGCCATTATGATCACAAAATTCTGAAAAACCACAGAACTTGAATTCTGACCCATTATCACTTCTAATCTTAACAATTTTCAAGCCAAACAGATTTTGCACTTTAGCATACAATGAAGTAAAATTCTTAAAGGCATCATCTTTATGAGCAAGAAATATCACCCAAGTATATCTAGAGTAATCATCAACAATCACAAAACAATATCTCTTACCACCAAGGCTTGTAGTTTGTGTAGGACCAAACAGGTCAAGGTGCAAAAGTTCAAGTGGTTTTGAAGTAGAAACACATTTCTTGGATTTAAAAGATACCTTGACTTGTTTTCCAAATTGGCAAGCATCACATATCCGGTCCTTTTCAAATTTGATTTTTGGGAGACCTCTAACAAGATCCTTTTTAGAGATTTTCTTTAGCAAATCCATGTTGAAGTGACACAGTCTTCTATGCCATAACCATGGGTCCTCATTTGCTACTTTGAGACATTTGAGATAGGAGGAATCAATTTTTTCAAGAATAACTACATAGACATCATTAACCCTTTTTCCTATAAAAATAATGTTGAATTTTGAGTCAAATATGAGACATTCAAGCTTTTTGAACAATACAGACAGATTCCTATCACACAGTTGGCTAACACTTAATAAATTGTAGCTCAGATTATCAATGAGAAGAACATTGTGGATAGAGGTTTTACCATTTTTATCAACATCACCAATACCAACAGTTTTGGCTTTGTTATCATCTCCAAACGTTACCTTTCCACTTGCTTTTTGCTTGAGTTTAATGAATTGTGAAGCATCACCAGTCATATGTCTTGAACATCCACTATCAATGAACCATTTTGATTCTTTAGCAATGTTATCCTGATTCATCTACACACAAACCCACAGGATAATACTTGGTACCCTTTACATGTTGGGTCCTTGAGAGTTAGTCTTATGTCTAGCTATCCACATGCATCTCATTCCATTGCTCATGTTTTTCTTAACATAACAGTTGCTATTCATGTGACCAAATTGACAACAAAAGTTGCATACTGACATTGGATCAATCAAATGAACATGTTTAATGAATCTGACTTGCCTTCTCCTGTGGATAGCAAACTCATTTGCATTTTGATTCTGTCTTATTTGATGAGTATTAACATAAGGTTCAGTGTCATTCTTTTGAAGACTGTTCTGTTTCATATGATGTAACAAATGACATAAATCATCCATCCTTTTTCTTAAGCCACATTGCTCATTTCTGAGTATGTCACATAAATTTTTCTTTTTGTAAAGTTCAGCAATCACATCAGTTTCAGTCCTTTTCAGGTTCTCATTTTCATGCTTAAAACACTTGTTTTGTCGAAAAAGATTTTCATTATCTTGTATTAGAAAGCTAATTTTCTGCTTTAGTTCCTTGTTTTTAACGTAGGATTCTTTCAAACTGTTATGCATTTTTTCTAGAAAAGAGTTAACATCATCATCAGATTCACTATCACTGTCAGTTTGAGAGTTGCATTGTGTTACCTCTTCATCTCCAATGGCCATGAAAGCCACTTGAGCAGATTCCTCTTCTTCTTCAACTTCGCCTTCTGAGTTGCAATCATTCCAGGTAATCTGGAAATTGTTGAACTTTGGCTTTCGTTCAACCTTGTTCTCCTTCTTTTTCTTCATTGGACACTCATTTGCATAGTGTCCTGGTTGGCCACATTCGAAACACTTATCAGTCAGCTTCTTGTTGAATTCCAGTTTCCCTCTGTTTCTGAAGTCATTAGATTGATTTGGTAAGGAATAGCTGGATCCGCCTTTCCTGAATCTTCTCTTGTTGAGAAATCTTTTGAAACCTCTTGTGATGAGTGCAATATTACTGTCATCACCTTCCAAATCATTTTCATCCTGTGAGGCTGTTTCATTTTCATCTTGTGAAGCTTTCAGAGCAATACTTTTTTTTACTTTTATGTCTTCTTCATCCTGCATCTTAGATTTAAGTTTCAGTTCGTAAGAAGTTAGAGAGTTAATCAGAGATTCAATGGATAAAGTATTTAGATCCTTGGCTTCCTCAATGGCAGTCACTTTGCTTTCCCAGTCCTTTGATAGAGCATTCAGAATTTTTCTGTTCTTCTCACCTAGAGAGTACTCCTTCTCAAGCACCTCTAAATCCTTGATCAGATCATTGAATCTACAATACATTTTGTCAATGTTTTCATGAGGTTCCATCTTAAAAGATTCATACTTAGTGACCAGAATGGATTTCTTTTGCTCTCTCACATTCTCGCTT